AACATGACCGGGACACCATCAAAACATGACCGGGACACCATCAAAACATGATCGGGACACCATCAAAACATGACCGGGACACCAGCATCACATGACCCGGACGCCATCAAAACATGACCGGGACACCATCCGCCCACCAGCTCTGACGGTGACCCGACGGCGCCCGTCCGCCTATTAGTTTTGCAAGACCCCATAGCATCGCTATTGGGGAAAAAATGTCCACCGGGTTTCCCATGCTGGGCCAAGCTCGAGGTCTTGTTCTTCTCCAGGTTTTGCGGCATCACTCCGACGAAGACCGAGTCCTGCGCTGGACGGAGCATGAGTTACGATGACTGTTGTTTCTACTAGCTTCTTGTTACTAGTAGCGATGCACCTGTTACTACTAGCGATGCACTTGTTACTACTAGCGATGCACTTGTTACTACTTGTATCATTTTTGTCACAGTCTGTTGAACAAATGTTCCGCTCAGCATCTAAAGAACACGCTGGATTCCCACACTGCCTCCATGTTTTTGCACAGGGATTAAAAAAGAGTGACTGAGTCACTGTGATTACATGTGCTTTCGTCATTCTCAACCTCCAGGGCAGCAAACGTTCCAGCTGCAATGAAACTCATCGTTTCACGATGTGCCTGGTTCCACGATGTTTCTGCTCCAGTTCCAAGACATGTTCCAAGACATTCCAGTTCCACTTCAACCACCCAGTGGTCGTGCCACTTCAACCACTCCGCAGCACGAAAGCTTCATAGCAACATCTGGTCGCGCAGGTTCATTCAACTCGACCCTGTGGACTCCTTGATGTGTGGTAAATTCATCCAATCCGTCTCATACTTGTTGCCGTGCGTCACACCCGCTGCTTTCTTGAACTTGACAATGAAGATGTCTTGCCTAAGAGAGCGGGGTCGCTGACGGAAAAGGGACACCCAACCTGAGAACAAGCACAGAAAGCCGTGACGGCGCAGAAGAACCAACATTGTGTTGCCTGCTACCTTGAAAGAGAATGTGCTTCCCACAGAGTCTCAATTAAGAAGGACCTGTTGAACAAGAAATAAATCAATCTCACTGAAAAGCCAGATCAGTGCTGGTGGTGTGGTGCAAAGGCATGTCACACGGTCACGTCACAGATTCGGACACACGCCGCGCGTGCGGACAGACAAATCAGCCTTCTGAGACTGGATCGAAGGAGATGCCACACTTGGAACTCCCATGCAAACCATCTGCACAAACTTTTACGACCTTTTACTACAGTTCTTCCTTGCTGCAGAGCAAACGGCTACTACTAGCTTCTTGCTACTAGTAGGAAGGGCCTTTACGCTAGTAGCGATGGCCTCCGCCTAGTAGCGTCCTTACTACTTATAGCCTTAGCATCTTATAGCCAATAATAGCTACTCTCATGCAAAACCATTCCAACCAGTTTTGGAGCACAACCAGTTTTGAAGCTTCGTCATGTCCGCTTCCGGACCCACTTTGTCCAGACTGCGCCCAGTGTGTCCCACTGGGCCGCCCCAACGACTTGGATTCCACCGAGGTCATGTGGTGGTTGTGCACCGAGCCCATCTGTGACGCGGCGACGGCGAGGGGTCATGGCCAATGGAGTCTTCCCGAAAGCTTCACGATTTCAGCTGCTCGGAAACTGTTCGTGAAAGCAAAGGAACGATGGCCCAAAACCATCCAAAACAGCGATGGCTTCCTGTCTCTTTGTGTTTCAGAGGAACAACACAACCAGAGGCCCGCGCCTTCATGGCGTTGTAGCAGGCTTTGCCCACATTCCAGCCTTAGGGAACATCGCTCGGGGCCGTTGCGACCGAGCCCATCCGTGGTTTTCTTGTCCGATAGATAGGGGATATAATGGATGCCTCCGGCCTCAGTTCCACGCTGCTCAGAGGTTAACATGTGGGAGGGTCCTGCTCATGTGTCTATAGAGCTTAACAAAAAAAGATACATCTGTGATTTAAATCATTTAAGACCTACGAAAATCATGAAAATCCTGTGCTCCCAACTGCTTGAAACCAAAGGCTCCTTGCCTCTCTCCTCGCTCCTTGCCTCTCACTTTCTGGCAAAAAGGCTGTGAACGACCCCTCACTGTGAAGGATTTGGGCTTCCCCAGCAGGTACTAGGAACGCTACTAGGCTTAGGGGCTCCTGGCCTTACTACTAGGAACAAGGACACTACTAGGGGCGCTCCTGGCATCGCTACGAACGGAGCAAGAACGCTACAGGATTTGGGCTTCCCCAGCAGGTGGTGTTGAATAAGATCTGCGGATTCTCCGCGCTGTCGCTCTTGCAAGGCTCCTGTCTGAGCAGAGAGAGGTCCCACCGGCAAAGAGAGTGGATGGCGGCTGACCGGTGTTCGTTGGGGTGTTGGCAAAAATGAAAACGGTCTGACCAGGGCAAATTCTGGTACAACATATTATACAATTGATGTTCTTTCTGTGACATTCCTGTATTTTTTTCAGGAAGCATGTTGCCATGCACCCCACCAAGGCGCCAAGGGTCATACAGGGTGCCCTCTCTTTCAGCGGCCTTGCGTGGAAACCAGACCAGGTAGATTCGGATGCAGCTGCCTGCGTTCGCAGATTTGGGCTAGACGCACCCCACAGCATTTGCGAAGTAGTGATCCAACGATGGCCGTTGAGGCCATCGGGGGAACGACGAATCTTGGAAAAAGAACAACATAACAGTAAGCTCGAAAAGTGAATCAGGTTCCTTGCTCCTAGTAGCGATGCCCTTTGTTACTAGTAGCGATGCCAGGAGCGCCCCTAGTAGCGTCCTTGTTACAGTAGCGATGCCCTTTGCTCCTAGTAGCGTCCTTGCTCCTAGTAGTACTGCCAGGAGCTACTAGTAGCTTCTTGCTCCTAGTAGCGTCCTTGTTACTAGTAGTGATGCCCTTGCTCCTAGTAGCTTCTTGTGCCTAGTAGCAAAATAGCTACTATATTAGCGATGCACTTGCTCCTAGTAGCGATGCCCTTGTTACTAGTAGCTTCTTGTTCCTAGTAGATGCAATTGCTCCTTATCAGTCAGTATCAGTCAGTACACAAATGCCGGTGGTTTTGCCCATCTCCAAAGCAATCCGATTGCTGCGATTTCAAGGGGGTTACCGTCTCCCTCAACAGGGACCCACCTGCCTGCCAAGTGATGGCAGCGATTGCGCTTCCACTCTCCGATGCGGTCCCCAACAGGGCAGATGGTGTTCTGAGGGCAGCGGCTCAAGTTTCCAAGAATTTTGAGGAGTGAGGACGAAGAGAGTTACAGTTGAGTTTGTGTAGCTTGAGGAGATAGCGGCCTAAAAGTGATCCATAAAGCCGTGTCTTTCTATTTGACTTGTCCCTTGAAACTCTTATCTTCTGGTAAAGTATCTTCCACGTGTACCGGTTGCCGGCTTGTTGGAAGAGTCCACTGAAAGAACCTCTATGATTGAAGGAAAGCTGATATCAAAAAAACCCAACAGCTCTATATAACCTAAAGCTCCGAAAAATGAACTGCTCAACTTTGGTGTTTTCAGACTATTCCTCCGACGAGGTCGGTCAATCCCACTCTTGGCCGAACAACTGAATCATTCATGGTGTCAGTTGTGGAACCCAACTGAGTCGCAAAGAATGTTAGATTCTCACTTCACAAACAAATCGCAAATAGGTTGGAGGCCATTGCTATTAGGTTGGAGGCCTACTTCACAAACAAATCCAAAAACCTTCTGGTCACAGGCCACTCAGCCATTCTGCCCTTGGTGCATGTAGCCCAGGAGCGGTCACTGAACTCACAAAAGAGCTAAAAACTTAAAGGCTAAGTTCCAGCACCGGTCGCAGCGGTGTGCAAACCTACCAATAGCTACCATCGGCCTCAAAACCAACCGACCTTGGACTAGAAACAAAACTTTACTGCCCTTATATATCCTCCCTTCCTCAAGAACCTCAGGGCTGACATTTTATCCCTGCCTTGTAAACGTCCATGTTCTGAGAGATCGGCGTGCCAGGCCTGGAGTCGTCTCGTCTCGTTTCGCGTGGAGGGATTCGTCGTTTCGCGAAGAGGACCTGGGCTCCCAGCAATTGGAAATACCAACCGTCAGAGCCGGTGACTGCGACCTGAAGATGTCGACCGGTGGGGCGACGATTTGCACTCGACGTCGAAGCAGGGAATTCATTCGTTGACCACCTGGGGCAGCTCGTTCAAACACCGGCACCGCTTACCGTTGAGTCAAGTAACATTGTCTCGCCAGACGTTGTTGGGCGCTGCGGTCCAAAATCCCGCCGGCTCCTGGTTTGATCAGGCGGAGGTCCCAAAAACACCTGGAGTCTCAGAGCGTTCTTTTCTGAATCGTTGGAGGCCATCGCTATTAGGTTAGCATCGTCTCGCTCTCTGTCGTCTCACTTCACCCACAGCTTGGGGGGTTGGACCCTCCTGGTCACTCTCCAGCATTCCACTGAGCAAAGGAATGGCACCCACCTCAGTGTTTTTACACGTTTGCCCTTCCTTCAAACTAAGTGGGCGTTTGACTCATGAAATGTGATTTATGTTTCTTTCCTTCGGGGACTTTCGTGTGGTAGACGATCTTTCCAGTGTCAAAAGATCGACCAATCATGCAAAAGTCCTACTCAACATAAATTCCCTTGACACACCAAATGTGGAGCCACAATACTTTAACATCCCTGAGGCACAGACGGCTAAGTTGCCTTCAATCACGTTGTGCCTCAGCATAAAAAATCCAAAACCACCGAAGGCACAGGCTTAAGGAAAGTAGAGAATTGAAAACCCTCAAAACATGTAATTGGAATTGCTTCAATCTATTTTGAGGACTGCCGTCCCCAAATTTCTGCTTGGGTCAAAGGCTTTCTCCAGATCTTCTAACCATTGACCCCTGATGATCACCCATGTGGAAACGCCAAACCCAGAAAACAGCAGCCAGCAATACCCAAACAGTTCTATGCCCACACTCGATTACATTCACTTATGTTAAGAACCTTCTGGTCAAACATGAGGGCCAATTCGGGAGCAAAGGCTTGTCCTTGTCCTATGGATGATCAAAATGAATGTGGCCAAGTTTCTTGGCGCCTGAAATCTGGCATGGCCATAGGCGGGCCCTTGTATTTTTCTTCTTTTGTATTTTTGATACCAGAACCCATGAGCCCCGGGCGAGAACTTGGTTCTTCATTCAAACCAGGAATTGAAAATATGTGGTTTTTTGCCAATCTTGCAAAAGCAGGAAATTCATGAAATTACATACATGGCTTTCGTGGCCACACAAGTTGCCCCCCTTTCGAACACAAAGAACTTTTTTAATCTTTCTCAGCCCTTCAAGAATCCTGACTTCGTCCAGTGCATGTGAGCCACTGCCAATGTACGTTGTAATACTCTCAATCGCTTGAGTGGCACGCACTTTTCTCGCCAATCTCGACTTCTTGCCGATTTGGTCTTCGCTGATTCAACAGAAAATGGGTTGATCTGCCTCCTCCCAGAAATGCATTCGCCCCAGATGTGGTGGCACACCTGCGCCTTGGGCATGAGCCCCGTTAGTGCCACTGAGAGGCCATAAGCGATCCGGGCCAATGGACCTCAACAAACCGCAAGCCACGCTGCCCAATGCTGCGAGAAACATTCTGCTCGAGCCAGGCATCTGATCGACACAACTGCTCTAAAGATCGATTCAAGAAATTGACAGCCTGTTTGGCCAGAGTCAACATTCCGTAAGCAGAGACATTGTGTGCCCAGCCATTGGGAGATGAAACATGGTCGCGACATGGCCTTTCGACCAATATCCGTTTGGACATGTAGTCGGTCTGGCCCCCCCACCGTTTCTTTGGCGATTGTAGTCACGCATGGCGCCAAATGCATGCCGATCCTTCACAGAACTGCATCAGTGAGCTCTTCAAATCGTGCGTCAACACTGCCTGATACCATCCGATCTGAAATCAAAGCAAGACCACTTCCCACAAAGGTCTTCCCTAAGCCAAAGTGCAGGGAGGCACAGGCGACTAGGCTGATGAGGGAGGCCCAACAAAACTGGTGGAATATTCCAGCACTGGTCACAGAAGAGTCGTCTCCCACACAGCCGTCTCCCAAAATTCTTTAACAGGAATGCCTAGCTTCCCGGCGTGACATAAGTGGCACACACCCTTCGCTGTGGAATTCGACGCCGTGGCCCCCCCCCGGCTTTCGCCATGAAGCGACACCTGGTCCTTGTGCATTTTGAAAGAACAGCAGTTAGAAAGCGACGCGTGTGAGAAGACTCGGAAAAGTTCAATCGCATCTGCGTGTAACTGCGATGCCGCTATGGTCCCGAAACCCATGAATGAGCTGTAGGCAAACACAAAGTTAAAGGCGACTTCTTCCGTCCACGCCCCTCGTTGTGGACGATCATTGGCACATTGGACAACAATTTGACAAGGGTCCACTCCACATTGTTCCTAGCGAGGCATTCCAGGTCTGGTGGCATGGTTGCAACGTTCCAAAGCGCCACCAAAACTCTGCAAAGGTTGCGCGTTCCCGCTGAGCGTGTCAGTGTGCTTCTCTCAGACGGTCTCAGACCACAAACCATGCGCCACAGATTATGTTCGATCAGCCACTTGCACGAGTCGCGAAGTCTCAGCGCGAGAAAGTTTCCAGTGAACCTAATTCCTGGCTCTTTTGGAAAAGGGCTGAGCGGTATGGGGATCTGCAGTTCGAATTGCCTGAAAAGCCATCAATAGCAGCTTTGACCCAGCCAATCCACGGCTGCTGATCTGAGTCATTCGCTGCAACGACGATTGCCTGAATCAAGTTGGCTTTCCATAGTCCTAGATCGTTGACCTTGGGCCACGGTGGTACATTCACCTTGGACTCTTCCTTCCTAGAAACCTTGGTTGCGAAGGTTGGTGAAGAAGAGGAAGCCGACGCAGTCTCTGATAATCTATGTTTGAGTTCTGCGTTCATGTTTTCGACCTCTTGACCTCTTGCATTTCCTTGAGTTCTTCCTCATAACTGTCAAAGGCTTCCAGGTACCAATCAAAAACTTCATCACGTTCTTTTCTCAACCTATCTGCTTCACTCTCGTGATGCTTTAGGTCCTCTTTCAAACGTGATTGGCTCTCTTCGCTGAACCGAATAGTTGGTAACCCCCGTCCATCTCGACTTTCGTCCTTCATGGTACCGTGGCGCATTTCAGCCTTCATTCTCACATTCTCGGATCTTGCTTCCAGCAACTTCTTCTCACAGCGATTTGTTGGTTCTCCTCAAGTTCCCGAAATTTCTCTTCAAGAGCAATTCTATATCTTGTTGGCCTCGGCGAGGGCGAAACTGGCTTCCTTCAACTGTCGCTGTTCCTCTTTCGACTGCCTTTGTAGCCCGTTTGCAGCGTCTTCCATTGTCTTCGTTGCTTCAGCCATCACTCTCGTCTCATACTGAAACTGTTTCGCTCGCATTTCCTTCTCACTGATTTCCAGTTTGTATCAATTTGTATCCCTGTATCTCTGCTTTGTGCTCTAAGTCATAATGACCCATCCCTGCGATCATGTTCATCTCTGATCCCTTGATGATTCCCAGCTGACCACGAAGATGCTCGACCATTCTTTTCTCCTGGCGCTGATGACCAGTGGTCTCAGCGATCTCATCGGCCAATTGCACCTGACGCACTTCACTGCTCCATTGTTTCTCCCTTTCCCTCTGAGCTACCTCCAACATGTTGCTGTTCTTATCTTGTAGCATCAGCATCCTCATTAGCTCGTTGGCGACGTTCATAATCGCTTGATTCTCTTCACTAAGATTCTGAGCTCGTCTGCTGTAGGTGTCAGAAGTCTGGTTTTGTTCTTGGATGTAGTGAAATGCACCTTGCATCATTTCTTGTAGGTGAGTGCCCATAGTCATATTGCACCTTGTCAGTTGCGAAAACTCCTCTTGTGATTCAGCATAGAGTCAAGTACTGATACGACACCCTAGCTGATCGAAGCTCTTCCAATAATCGAACTTCTCTTTCTTCAAGCTCCTTGGCATCTTCAATCTCAACCCTCTCAATATCTCTCTTTGGTGATCTTCTTGATGTCGTTCTCGGTGATGTAGATCTCGTAAATCTCTTCATGACTCTCTTTGCGTTGCCCATTCTAACGTCGGACCCGGTAGACGTCGCCTCCAGTGGAGCGACTCTACCATCACCCGATGGCATGGTAATCACTGTGGCAGCATCAGCAGAGCTAGCACCGGTAATTGAGCCAGGTGATGACTGCGATGCATTTCCTGGGGCAGCGAAAGAGAACTGTTCACTGCTATTTCCTCCAGAACTCGACATTATGAGTTGAGTCTTTATTGCAGTATTGGTCTCTCAAGGCTCGTAACCTCAGAGCGGCTACGGCTGATAACCTGCGTGTGGATATTAATCTGCCCAACGTGAAGTATAGGTAGACTATCCTCTCCCTCGTAGACAGCGATGGCGCGCACTTGTTTTCCGCTTGCTCTACGGGAGTCTTGAGCCTAATATAGGCGTGACACGCTGAAGTATACTGTACATGCATATGGTATGCTATCGTCCCACTGCTATTGACATGTTTTTCAGACACGTTTGATTGTTTCCTAGGTCTGACGTTGTTCTTGCAGACGGTGTGAGTGAGGATTCAACCTTGCTCAAGCAGTCACTTGCTGCTGATCTGATTGGAGATATCACCCATGGTGATGGGGATTGAAGCAAAGGTCACGGTGATCGAGGTAAGATTCAAATTGTGGGCACTCAGCAGATTCTCTGCGGGATCTTGGGCCTTATACATATACTCTTTGTTATGACGAACAGACTTTTGTGTCACCTGTGCGACGCAGTTTGCAACCATCAACTTCATGTGTTCGAGCCACGATGGACATTCAACCGGCACCAGCACATGCCATCAAGCCGTCCATGGTGGATTCCTTGAAGGTGTAAATGTCAAGGCATTTCAGGAAGAGAGACCTCGAAGATCAACGGGAAACTCTGAGCCCAATTTCGAGGCATTATGAGGTATTTCAGGAAGAGAGACCTCGAAATAGTTCAATGTATTTCAAGGTAGTTCAACGAAAATATCTGAGCCCTTTCTGGAATTGCCCCGCAACAAACCCCCGAAGCAAACTGAGGATCCCCTGCATCTCCATGCCAGTCTCCACGAAGAACCTAGCAGGTCGAAGGTACTGGAAACCCCGACCTTCTCGTTGGAGCTCTGTCGTCGTATGATCAATCCATTGAGATGGCGCGCTCTCCACTGTCGGTGGTTTATATGCACCATCTGAGGGACATGTAGGGGTCGGCGCCGCAACATCCGATTTGGCCAAACTTGTTGCGCAAGCTTCAGACTTCATTGACTTCATGAATCCAATCGCCACGAGCACCCCACCCAGTCCCCTGGCCTATTTGGTCCGAGTCCAATCGCCCAAATCCCCGTCGGACTAAGTTAGTATCCAAGTCCAGAAGAAACCCTGGCCCAGTTCCA